GAATTCCGGGTTCGAACTAACTGCTCGGTGCTTCGCGGTTTTTTTTTTATTTTAATTTTTAATGAAATTAAAATTTAAAACTTACAAAATTCTTCTAAAAATATAGAATTTTTAATTATGTATAGTTTTTTTTTCCGTGGGCCAGGGGCCTGAAAAGTGCCTGACTAGGGATGGGGAGATTCAGGTTCAAATCCCGGCTCGTTACTTCGTTGGTTGTTTTTCTTTTAAATTTTAATGAAATTCAAAATTTTAAAACTTAAAAATTCCCTAAAAATATAGTACAATTAAATGTAATTTTTTTTCCCTGGACCAGTGGCTCAACGGATAACGCGCCTGACTACGGATGAAGAGATTCCAGGTTTTTTTAAAACTGGCCGGTGTTTCAAATTTTTTTAAAACACACATTTCTCCTAAAAAAGAATCTTTAAATACGTATACATTTTCTTGCATGGGCCGTGGCGCACGGATCGCCTGACTACGGATGGGGAGTTTCCCCGGTTCGAATCCGGCTGGCTCGGTGCTTCGTGGTGTTTTTTCTTTTTTAATGAAATTCAGGTTTAAAAACAAAATTTCTCCAAAATTATAGAATTTTAAATACGTATAGCTTTTCTTGCGGGCCAGTATCGAAAGGATAACGCCCCTGACTACGGTTAAGGGTTTCAGTTCAATTTGGCTGGCTGGGGCCGGGGGGTGTTTTAAATTTTTAAACAAAAAACAAATTTTTTAAAAAACACCAATTTCTCCTAAAAATATAGAATCTTTAAATACGTATAGCTTTTTCTTGCATGGGCCATAGGCGCAACGGATAACGCGCCAACTACGGTTCTGGAGATTTCAGGTTCGAATTCTGGCTGGCTCGGTGTTTCGTCTGGGTTCATTTTTAATTTTTAACGAAATTCAAAATTTAAAATTTATATATAATTTCTCCAAAAATTTACAATCTTTAAATACGTATACCTTTTTTTTGTATGGGCCGTGGCTCAACGGAAAACCGCCTGACTAGGATCAGGAGATTCCAGGGTTTGGGAAACATGGCTGGCCCCGGGGGCTTCGGTGGATGTTTTTTAATTTTTAAAAATTTTTGAATTTAAAACTTACAATTTCTCCCCAAAATAGAATCTTTAAAACTATAGCTTTTTTTTTGCATGGGCCAAAGGCGCAACGGTTCCCCCTGACTTGGGTCGGAGATTCAGGGTTTGAATCCCCTGGCCGGGCTTCGCGGTTTGTTTTTTAATTTTTTAAAGAAATTCAGAATTTAAAACTTACACAAATTTTCTAAAAAAAATAGAATCTTTAATTATGTTTGTTTTTCTTTTGGGGGGCCGGGGGGCAAATGATAATTTCCGCTAGGGCAGGGGAATTCGGTTCAAATCCCGGCTGGCTCGTTACTTCGTTGGTTGTTTTTCTTTTTTTTAAAATTTTTTGAAATTCAAATTTAAAAATTACAAATTCTCTAAAAAAATAGTACAATTAAATACGTATAGCTTTTTTCCCTGGGCCGCGTGGAGAAACGGATAAAGCGCCTGACTACGGATCTGGAGATTCCAGGTTCGAATCCTGACTGGCTCGGTGCTTCGAGGGGTGTTTTTAATTTTTAATGAAATTTAGAATTTAAACCTTTCCAATTTCCCAAAAAAAATAGATTCAAAATCTTAAAAGCTTTTTCCAGCATGGGGGAGTGGCGCAACGGATAACGCGCCTGTTTACTGATCAGGAGATTCCCGGTTCAAACCTGGTGGGTCGGGTTTCGGGGTGTTTTCATTTTAAAAAATTCGGGAAATTTAAAACTTAACACAATTTCTCCTAAAAATATAGATTCTTTAAATACGTATAGCTTTTTCATGCATGGGCCAGTGGCGCAACGGATAACGCGCCTGACTACGGATTAGAAGATTCCCGTTTCGAATCCTGTCTGGCTCGGTGCTTCGGTGGATGTTTTTAATTTTTAACGAAATTCAGAATTTTTTAAAACTTACACAATTTCTCCTAAAAATATAGAATCTTTAAATACGTTTAAGTTTTCTTTGCATGGGCCAGTGGTGCAACGGATAACGCGCCTGACTACGGATCAGGAGATTCCAGGTTCGAATCTTGGCTGGATCATTCTTTGGTGGGTGTTTTTAATTTTTAACGAAATTCGGAATTTTTAAAATTTACAATTTCTCCTAAAATTATAGAATATTTAAATACATATAGCTTTTACTTGCATGGGCCAGTATCGCAAAGGATAACGCTCCTGACTACGGTTCAGGAGATTTCAGGTTCGAATTCTGGCTGGCTCGGTCAACTTCTAGATTGGGTGTTTTTAAATTTTAACGAAATTCAGAATTTTTAAAACTTACACACAATTTCTCCTAAAAATATAGAATCTTTAAATACGTATAGCTTTTTCTTGCATGGGCCACATAGGCGCAACGGATAACGCGCCGACTACGGTTCTGGAGATTTCAGGTTTGAATTCTGGCAAGCTCGGTGCTTCGTCGGGGTTCTTTTTTAATTTTTAACGAAATTCAAAATTTAAAATTTATATATAATTTCTCCAAAAAATTTAAAATCTTTAAATACGTATACCTTTTTCTCGCATCTGCAAGTGGCGTAACGGATAACGCGCCTGACTATGGATCAGGAGATTCCAGGTTCGAATCCTGGAAACTTCGGTGCTTCGGTGCATGTTTTTAATTTATAACGAAATTCGGAATTTTTAAAACTTACTATTTCTCCTAAAAATATAGATTCTTTAAATACGTATAGCTTTTTCTTGCATGGGCCAGTGGCGCAATGGTTAACGCGCCTGACTACGGATCTGGAGATTCCAGGTTCGAATCATAACTGGGTCGGTGCTTCGCGGTTTTTAATTTTTAACGAAATTCGGAATTTTTAAAACTTACAATTATTTCTCCTAAAATTATAGAATATTTAAATACGTATAGCTATTTTATATTTGCATGGGCCAGTATCGCAAAGCATAACGCTCCTGACTACGGTTCAGGAGATTTCAGGTTCGAATTCTGGCTGGCTCGGTGCTTCGGTGGGTGTTTTCAATTTTTAACGAAATTCAGAATTTTTTTAAACTTACACACAATTTCTCCTAAAAATATAGAATCTTTAAATACGTATAGCTTTTTCTTGCATGGGCCATAGGCGGATAACGCGCCTGACTACGGTTCAGGGAGATTTCAGGTTCGAATTCTGGCTGGCTCGGTAGCTTCGGTTAAGGTGTTTTCAATTTTTAACGAAATTCAGAATTTTTTTTTTAAACTTACACACAATTTCTCCTAAAAATATAGAATCTTTAAATACGTATAGCTTTTTTTGCATGGGCCATAGGCGCAACGGATAACGCGCCGACTACGTTTCTGGAGATTTCAGGTTCGAATTCTGGCTGGCTCGGTGCTTCGTCGGGGTTCTTTTTTAATTTTTAACGAAATTCAAAATTTAGAATTTATATATTTCTCCAAAAAATTTACAATATTTAAATACGTATACCTTTTCTTGCATGGGCCAGTGGCGTAACGGATAACGCGCCTGACTACGGATCCAGAGATTCCAGGTTCGAATCCTGGCTGGCTCGGTACTTCGGTGGATGTTTTTAATTTTTAACAAATTTCAGAATTTAAAACTTACACAATTTCTCCTAAAAATATAGAATATTTAAATACGTATAGCTTTTTGTTGCATGGGCCAATGGCGCAACGGTTAACGCGCCTGACTACGGATCTGGAGATTCCAGGTTCGAATCATAACTGGCTCGGTGCTTCGCGGTTTGTTTTTCATTTTTAATTTTTAATGAAATTCAGAATTTAAAACTTACACAAATTCTTCTAAAAATATAGAATCTTTAATTATGTATAGCTTTTTCTTGCGTGGGCCAGTGGCGCAACTGATAATGTGCCTGACTACGGATCAGGAGATTCCAGGTTCAAATCCTGGCTGGCTCGTTACTTCGTTGGTTGTTTTTCTTTTTTAAATTTTAATGAAATTCAGAATTTAAAACTTACAAATTCTCCTAAAAATATAGTACAATTAAATACGTATAGCTTTTTTTCCCTGGGCCCGCGTGGAGCAACGGATAAAGCGCCTGACTACGGATCTGGAGATTCCAGTTTCGAATCCTGGCTGGCTCTGTGCTTCGGTGGGTGTTCTTCAATTTTAATTTTTAACGAAATTCAGTATTTAAAACTTACAATTTCTCCTAAAAATATAAATTCTTTAATACGTATATAGCTTTTTATTGCATGGGCCAGTGGCGCAACGGATAACGCGCCTGTCTACGGATCAGGAGATTCCCGGTTCGAATCCTGGCTGGCTCGGTGCTTTGCGGGGTGTTTTTCATTTTTAACAAAATTCGGAATTTAAAACTTACACACAATTTCTCCTAAAAATATAGATTCTTTAAATACGTATAGCTTTTTCATGCATGGGCCAGTGGCGCAACGGATAACGCGCCTGACTACGGATCAGGAGATTCCAGTTTCGAATCCTGGCTGGCTCGGTGCTTCGATGCGTGATCATTGCTTTCAATTTTCCACCGAATTCTGAATTTTAAACTTACAAATTCTCCTAAAATTATGGAATAATTAAATACGTATAGCCATTTCTTACATGGGCTAGTGGCACAATGGATAACGCGCCTGACTACGGATTAGGAGATTCCCGGTTCGAATCCTGTCTAACTCGGTGCTTCATGAGATTGCTTTTCATTTTTAATAAGGGAAATTCCATTTAAAAGAAAACTTACACATTTTCTCCTAAAAATATAAAATTTTTAAATACGTATAGCTCTTTCTTGCGTGGGGCAGTGGCGCAACGGACAACGTGCCTGACTACGGATCAGGATATTCCAGGTTCAAATGCTGGCTGGCTCGTTACTTCGTTGGTTAATTTTTCACAGAATTTTAATGAAATTCAGAAGTTAAAACTTACAAATTCTCCTAAAATATAGTATAATTAAAACAAATTATAACCTTTTCTTTTCCTGGGCCAGTGGCGCAACGGATAACGCGCCTGACTACGGATCAAGAGATTCCAGGTTTGAATTCTAGCTGGCTCGGTGCTTAGGTGGGTGTTTCTATTCTTAAAACTTTTACATTTCTCACAAAATATAGAATGCTTTAAATGCGTATACATTTTCTTGCATGGGCCAGTGGCGCGACTTGGATAACGCGCCTGACTACGGATCGGGAAGTCCACGGTTTCGAATCCTGGCTGGCTCGGTGCTTCGATGCGTGATCATTGCTTTCAATTTTCCACCGAATTCTGAATTTTAAACTTACAAATTCTCCTAAAATTATAGAATATTTAAATACGTATAGCTTTTTCTTGCATGGGCCAGTGGCGCAACGGATAACGCGCCTGACTACGGATCAGGAGATTCCAGGTTCGAATCCTGGCTGGCTCGGTGCTTCGCGGGGTGTTTTTCATTTTTAATTTTTAATGAAATTCAGAATTTAAAACTTACACAATTTGTCCTTAAAATATAGAATCTTTAAATACGTAATAGTTTTTTCTTGCGTGGGCCAATGGCGCATCGGATAACGCCTGAGTAGGGGATCAGGGGGTTTCCCAGGTTCGAATCTTGGCTGGCTGCTGCTTCGTGGGGGTTCTTTTTTTTTTTAACGAAATTCAAAATTTTAAAAATTTATAAATTTCCCCAAAAAAAAATCTTTAAATGCGTTTCCTTTTTCTTTAAAGGGCCAGTGGCTCAACGGAAAAAGTGCCCGACTATGGTTAAAGATTCCCGGTTCAGATTGGCTGGCTCGGGGCTTCAGTGGATGTTTTTTAAATTTTTAACGAAATTCCGGTTTTTAAAACACTTTTTTTTAAAAAATTTGTTCTTTTAAAAACGTATAACTTTTTCTTGCATGGGCCAGTGGCGCACGGTTAACGCCCACTTTCGGATCGAAAAACGGTTCGAATCGCTGGCTCGGTGCTTTTGCGGTTTTCATTTTTTTTTTTTAATAAATTCAAATTTAAAACTAACACAAATTCTCCTAAGAATATAGAATCAAATACGTAACTTTTTCGCTGGGCCAGTGGCGCAACGGATAACGCGCCTGTCAACGGATCACGAGATTCCCGCTTCAAATCCTGGCTGGCTCGGTGCTTTGCGGGGTTTTTTTTTTAACAAAATTCGGAATTTTAAAACTTACCCAAAATTTTTCCCAAAATATAGATTTTTAAAAACGTATACTTCCATGCATGGGCCAGTGGCGCAAAAGGATAAACGCCTGACTACGGATCGGGGGGATTCCCGGTTCGAAACCTGGTTGGTCTTTCAATACGTGATCATCGGTTTCAATTTTTCACCAAATCTGAATTTTAAACACAAATTCTCCCAAAATTATAAAATATTTAAACTAAGCTTTTTTGCATGGGCCCCGTAGCGCAACGGATAACCCCCTGACACCGTTCTGATATCCTAGGTTCAAATCCTGGCTGGATCGTTACTTCTTTTTTTGTTTTTCTTTTTTAAATTTTAATGAAATTCAGAATTTAAAACTTACAAATTCTCCTAAAAATATAGTACAATTAAATACGTATAGCTTTTTCTTGCCTGGGCCCATGGCCCGGATAACACCTGACTGGATCAAGAGATTCCCGGTTCAACCGGGTGGCTCGGGCTTCGTGGGGTTTTTTTCATTTTTTAAAGAAATTCAGAGTTTAAAACTTAAAAATTTCTCTAAAATTATAGAATATTTAAATA